CAATAAATTTAAAATTGATGACATATTTTCAATTTCGTTGGAATTAATATCATAATCAGGTAAGATACCAGTTTTTTCCAGCAGTTAACTATAGTTTGACTGGTAACTTTTTTCCAAGCTTTTGCTGTAAATTTAATTGTATGTTTAATTGAAATTTTTTATATTCTTGGCCATTTCTCTCTTCTTCATAATCACTAATTTTTTTTTGCAAGAAAAATTTTTTGTAGTTCACCTTGAAGCTGTTAATTATCCCGGCATCACATTGTTGTAAAAATGTTGTTGTGTTTGGTGGTAAGAAGTAAACTCTTACATTAGTTAAATTTGTTGATTCAGAAATAGAATGAGTGGGAGCATTGTGACAATAAACCGCGTTCAAATTATTGTTATTAACATTAATAATTGACTCAATTTCTTAATTTGGTAATGATTAACTCATATCATGATCGTTGGCCGTTATAGTTATAGACTAACATATAACAATAAAACATATGAGAGAATTTCCAGAGGCTGGCCGTTATACACTATAGGAAATTTAATTAAGAAAACCGTTATAGAGTAAGGTTTTTATATAGTAAAAATTTGGTTTCTGATTTACAGCGCGTTATATAATGGGGGCCGTTATAGAGAGAGTGAACTGTACATTGAAGTTTTGGCATCACCAGCAAAGTTCAGGAAATTTTTTATTTTATTTATCATACAATTCATATCAATAAAAAAATGGCCTTTACAATAAAGATCCATATGAGACATAATTTCCATTATATTTAATTGAACCTTCCTATACAAGAAAAAGAAAAAGAAAAAGAGACGAGTTACTGTGCGTGTTTAGTCAAGTTGTTTCCGAATAGAACCTTGAAACATTTTTAAAACTAATGATCACTGCTAGTGATTTACGTGAAAGTTAAGCTTTATCAACAATCAATTGTTCTACATTTGATAATAAACAAGAATTGATATATTTCTTTTTTTCAATTTAAAGAAATTTGTGACAAAAGCCTTTATGGGGATTGTTATTGATGAGCTTCATCGAATATTTTCATGTAACGAACGAACTTGATTATTTCTGGTTTGTTTGCACACATAACAGTAATACGTAACACAAAGTATAAAAATGGAAAGATTTGTGAATCTATCATTTTCACCATCATCCAAACAAATTATATTGTCATTTGTAACTTTGTCATCTAAACAAAGATTTGAATACATGTAAACCAACTTAATCCGTCATTTTGTTGGTCAAACTGTGAACAAAGTCAAAATGGCACCAATTTCTTCTGGATTGGCATAAAGTTTAGCAGCAAGTTCAGAGAGTACTGGCACCTCGTTTCTTAAAGCAGACCATCACGTAGTAGAATATTTTGCAGTTTCGTCTGACCATAATGCATTAAACACTCTCGATTCGCTTTGGTATTAAAAGTGGGTCTGGGAAGAATTTTTTAATTGCATTAACTGTATATATTACAATCAATATGTACAATGTTGATCATAGTAATAATAATACTAGAGTTTTTTTTTTTGTAATTAAAAAATTCCGTATTCTACAAAAAAGTTTTTTAGTTCATTTTCATATGTAAATTCCTTGGAATATAGCGTTATCTTCTATTAAAAGCCCCTAAAAGCCATTTACTATTGTATCTTTCGGAATTGAGGTTTTTTCTACCAAATAAAAAAAAATCCCGAAAAAAAATTATTATTTTTGGTGAACTTGGTGAACTCTATCTATCTACTATTAAAGAAAAACGAAGCTGCACCATTAAAAATTTCTAATGAATCTTTTTTTATATTGAAAGAGGTTTCTAAGTAAGTTATCCAAAAATGGCATTATGCTTTCACTTTAAAACAAGATTCTTTTTATAAATGTTTTGAGAAGATGTAAAAATAAATATGTTCAATTGACAAAAGTTATACTACACTGAATCCGATGTTCATTATACGATTTGAATACATACATTAATACATGACACAGGATAGTATATTAAAATTAAAGAATATTATATGTAAAAAATGTAATATACTTTATCATTATTATAAAAAATTAATATAATATATAATAGTTCGGAAAAATGCAATTTTCCCTTAAATATTAATATTAATATGAACATTAATATTAATATAGAACACTGCAATTTTCCGATACTATTTTCCTTACGTTTAGAATTTTTTCCTTGGATTCTTTTTTTATAGAATTTCATTATTTTTTAAAAAACAAATAATATTTAATGATCGATACATGCAAAACAAACAACTAAAATTATTACAAAAATTTTCTTACAAAAATTCTCATTACAATGATCAAATCAATTATTATTATTATCTTTTTCGTATTCTTAAATACATTAATCAAATCTGTATATTTTCAAAAAGCACTTGACGAATCCTCGATATTTCGCTACCAAAACAACCCACTCGGTATCTTGGGTAAAAGCAACAGACCACTGACTGATGATAAATATCAAGTAGAATATTTATATAACTTGAATAAATTAGGTAAAGCTCCTTCAGAAGTGAAGGCTTTGGATAAAACTTTTGCTGAAAGAACTATAACCGAATTTTATGTTGCTCAACCTATGAGGAGCTATTACTGTAATCAAACAGACTTATTAATCTTAATTTCTTTAATTAATTGTTTTTTTTTTTTTTTTTGAACCAATTGCTATATCAAAAACAATAATCTATTTCTAGCAAATAGGGATAACAGCGCAATGGCGCCATATAATTCCCAAGATCGTCTTGTAACGAAGTATCCTGAGCTAACGTTACCATCATCATCAATGTGGATTAAGGTTATATCAGCTCTTGGAGCAGCTTTTGTGATGGTCAGCTTTGTGATGGTCAAAATCGATATCATGCAAAAACCTAACAGCAACACTGGTCTAGCATTAAATGAAGTAAATACCACTGTGGATGCAGATGCAGGACATCATATTATAGTATGTATATTTAGAGTTACAATGTCAATTTTTTGCACCATATTACACATTATCTAACCAATGTTATGTTGTTCTATTATACCTAATCTACACAAAAAGCATATCCAAAATCCTGACATTTCCCAATACTCTGCTGAAAAAAAAGCTATTTGTCAATCACCATCAATATATGGTGTCTTTCGTACGCTCCGGTTTTTTATAGTTGTTGTTCTAGTTTTATTGAATTTGGCATCTCAATTTGGATGGTCGATTGGTTTACCGAATGGTCTTGATATTAAAGTTCTGTCTGACGCTGCAATATTATGCTATGTTAATGATATTAATATAACTCCTACAACTAGTACACCAGAACTACCCGCTATCACAAGTTATCCAGAAGCGTTAAAACTTTCAGCATATGATTTATTTTTTCTTATGATTATCACGTACAGTTCTGCAATTGGAATTATATTTGAAATAAAAAATAAAATAATTGATGCAGTAGGCATTAGCGCTTTATTTTTACAAAAAATACATCAAAAAAAAAAAAATACAATAAAAATATAAAAAAATGTGTAAATAATAATATTTTAACCATCATTAATTTTCATCTCATGTTATTTATATCAACTACTATTGTTATTGTTATTTCATCAGAGATTTTCTATTAAATAAATAAATAAATAACTAGCATTTATAAATAATTTTACTTTAAATTGCCTCATTATTATTTCCATTGGTAAAATGATAAAAATGATCCAAGCGTCAATGGAGGTGAAGAGGATGTTTTCTTTCTTCTTGGTAAATTTCATAGGTAATCCTTCCTTTCCCTCAAATGTCAGAGTATCATTTATTTTGAACCATAAGGAACAATTTTCTCGCCTTGTCCTTTTCCAAAACATTTCTAATAGTGCTGTAATTCTTTGGTTCCATGGTGGATTAGTTTCATATTTATATTTTTTATAAAGGGATAATCCTATATACTATTTAAAAACAAGAAAATCAAATATAAGAAGTCCAAGTTGCCAATACAAATACACCATTTTTGATAATATTGGTTATTCAGTAGATAATACTTTAGAAATTTGAAGTTGTGAACTAGATAATTATTAACTGATGAAATTGGTTTATATAATTATGCTAAAACATTTGAAAAGAAAGTTTTCTGTTCCACCTAAAGCATTAAACCGGTGGAAATAGAGCCAGAAGGCGTTTATCAAAATCAAATTAAAATGACAGTGTATTATTTACAATCTGTTCTGATCAAAGCCATCCATACCTTAAAAGAAATACAAATCCATAAAATTAATATTGAACTTTATAAAAAAGAGAGAAAAAGTGGAGGTTCAAAGAAGGTCAAGCAGAAAGAGCAAGGTTATTTCAAAGAAAAATAGCAGAGAAACAAGGGGAGTAAATGAACACATAAGTTTAGCCCGCCAAGATGTTGAAATTTTATTAGAATAATCAGCCGTTGAGAAAGAATATGCTCAAGTGGGAAGAGAGTTTCAAAATACATTCGCGCTCATCATCCACAAAACGAAGAATTCACCTCATGTGACCATATCTACAGATGAAAATATATTTTCAAAATGATGTCAAGTAATATGTCACTCTAAGCAGAGTAAACTCTTTAATAAACTTCATATTTTAAAATTTGATTATTCTCGAGTTAAACAAATATAAAAGATTAAAGCAAAGCAATATGGACTGTACCACAATCTCTTTCTTAATCTGTTTTTAAGTTGAAAAACATATTCCTTATTTGTCTATAGTCTAATCTCAATTTGAACATACCATATATAATTTGTAATTGTGTAAATTTTTAAGGATCAAAGCATCCGTTAGTCAATATGGGATCAATATTATCAACAGAACAGAATCCGGTATATTCAATTTGCTATTACTATTATATTTAAAAAAATCGCTTTTGCTTGATGGTAACTAATAGCAGCTTTGATTATTTAATAGACTTACGTGACTAGTACTAAGAAAACTATTGTTTCTTCTGTCTCTTCCCCTCGCCAATACAACTCCGGACGAACAACATCTTCAGTAAGCACTGGAGTAAAGGTACATTCAATTTACTATTAAAATCATTTTATCTGGTTATAATAAGTCATGGTAGTCACATCTCTGATTATTTAATGTATTTATAAGGCTAGAGAAATCACTTTATCTTCCTACTACCAGTACAACACGGGACAAACAACATCTTCAACAAACACTGGAGTAAAGGTATATTCAATTTATTATTAAATCGTTTTTTCCTGGTTGTAGGCCCAATAACAATAGCATCTTTCGATTATTTAATAAACTTACAAATCCTATCACCAGCACAACACGGTACAAATAATATCTTCAACAAACACTGGAGCAAATGTATATAATTAAACCGCTTTTTTCTGTTGTAATATTATTAACCAATGAATTACATCTTTCAATCATTTAATAAACTTACAATCCACTTCTCTTCCTATCGCCAGTATAAAACAGGACAAACAACATCTTCAGTAAACGCTGGAGCAAGGGTATTTTTAATTTGTTATTATATTCTGGGATGAATTACCTTTCCTGGTTGTAAGTTATGTTTAGTCAATATATTTGATCGTTTAATAAATAGAATACCTCGTGGAAAGCAAATACAGCAGGTTTTAACAAGAAAAACCAACTAGTATGTAAAATTAGCTATAAATATTTCTTTTTCTATGTTTTCATTAACATTTGTTCACATAGATTGTCGATATCGTCAAGTGCTTAGTTAAGAACGATAAATACATAGTATATGGTAATTGGTTATGTCAAGAAGTAATATCAGACGATGAAATATATCAACAGTCTTGTGAAAATATTTGGCAAGAAAAATATACTCAAGAATCACTCAAGCAGTTTTTAAAGATGACGTCAGCAGGAGTACAGTACAATTTTTTCAAGAAAAAGTGCAATGAATGCAATGTAGTGTGCGATATCACGAGCTTCCGCATGTACACATCGCAACTACAAAAAAATTTAGATGTAGGTCACAAATTAATCATAATCATAAAATATCTCATTTTTCGAAACGCAACAAAATTTCTTGTATTCTACTAAAATTTATCCTAATAGGAAACGCCCATCGTTGAGGTTATCTGTCACCTAGTATGGAAAGAGAAGCATAGGGTGTTTGGCTATTGGAAATGCTTGAATTGTCGTAAGAAATGGGTAAGCGCTTATACTTGGTTATCACTACAAAAGTTTATAGACAAAACACCAGGAAATAAATTGTTGGAGGGAGATTTTTGCGTGCAAGAGTGCAAGAAATGCAAGGGAAACGAGAATAAAAATGTCATGATCTGGAAATACGAACCTCTGATATTATCAGAGACTGGTAAACCTCATAAGAGGGATTTATGTGCAAAGTGTCAGGATGGTGAATATTGTACTCGAACTGGCACTTATTACGGTCATCGGCAGAAAAATGATTATGAATAAACATTTAGCATGCTAGTCAGGTTATTGATGTATCGTAATTAATTCTACCCGTTTAAATGATATGGAAGTTTATTATATTTATATTATTGATGTTTATATTTTATCATTTCATCATTGTATTCTCATTGTATTTTTATTTTGTTGTTTATTGCTAGGTAATAATAAAATTACTTGTTTGTAATGTAGTTATCATCAGATTCTTGTTGTTATTATTACTAAAAATTTTATTTATTTATTTCAAATTTAATTATTATTATTAAAAGAATAAAAAATAACATATCATTAATTACATGAAATAAGGAATTACAGCATATTTGCATCGAATAGTACAAATTTTGTAGAAACGATGTCTGTAATAGTATTTAGGAATGAAATATCTATGAGGATAAAATACACGAGGTCCGAAATAGAATAATTTTTTATTGATATAAATGGGTTGGAAGATTTGTGAAATGTCAACATCAGAAGCATCATCACTTTCTTCAACTACGGCACTGGTTTGATGACCGCTGTCTTTATCAATATTTTCGCTTTGGAAATCTTCAACTAATTTTTCTGGTGTAACGGTAGAAGCACTATCAGCGCCAAGTTCTTTGAGTGTATCTGATTTTGCCGATTCAGGATCTTGAGACATTTCCCAAATATCGCCAGATTCTGGCAAATCATCAAGAGAAATCTCGGTAACCTTTGCATCATTGTTTTCAGTTGTTAATAGGTCACCAATTGTCAATTTTATAATGAAAATAAGCGAGATCAAGAGAATGATAATTTGACGATTTTTGTATTCCATTATTATTTTTATTATTTTTTTCTTTTGAGCAAGATAAATTGATTTATTAATTATTGATTTGTTATTAATTAATATTAATGAGAGAAAGATTTGTTTCATGTCCAAAATCCGTTTCTTAAATACTTTTGTCAATTACCGAAAAATAAAAAAAGTTTGTATTTATCAATAATAAAATAAAGTTTTATCATCATAATCTTATTATATTATGATTTATTATTATAATTGTATGGTAATCTGCTACTAATAATGGTGGCAATAGTTAAATAAAATACACGATAAATCTTTACTTGCCATTATCACCAATATGATTAACTTTACAACAAATTACGCACATCTTAAAACTAATACTAATAATAATCGATTAACGATAATAATGATAATAATTGATTGATTGATTAATAATAAATAATAATGATAATAATTGATTAAACTATTTATTAGAATTAATCATTCGTGTCTTTGAAGTTAAATTAAATTTAACTAACTTGAAAATTAAAAATTCACAAATTATAATAAAAATCGTTACGACTTTTTTTGATTGCATCAAAATGGTGATATTAATACGAGCCCAATAAAACTGTGTCATTGTTAAAGGTTCAACTCGCGGAATTGCGAAAAATTACCTAAATCAAATCATTCTGCAAGAATACAAAAGTTTTGGACGCGATAAATATATTCGATATTCAAATCTACCACTTCAATAACGTGACACCTCTTCCCGGTAATATGTGACTTTCAGGCCTGATTATATGATATTAAGTGGTAATATAGTTTCTGGACTAATGGAGGCAATTGCTCAAAGACAATGACACGTTTAAAATTTTGAGCAATAATAATGTGATGATTTTCTTAACGATTTAAAAATGATTTTGCTTTCATCTGAACAATTGGCTGTTAATAAGATTATAAAAGCATTTATGAATGAATGATGTTAAAAAATATTCTATTAATAACTGTAAAAGCCATGTAACAATTTAAATGTAAGTCTTTATTCAAATATACATTTATTTATTTTAATCTATAATAAATCACATTTTTCTAAATCATCTATTTCTTTATCATTAATACTAATTTTCATATATTTACTACATTTACTATATTTACATTTATTTTCAGTAGTATTAAAATATTTCTTGATGAAAAACATTAATAATGATATACTACTTACTAACAAGATTGCTAACATTATTGTCAAGGCTAACGGCTTTAATAATGGTAGTAATGATAACGAATCATGTTTTTGTGGTTTATTATCAACTTTAGATGAATCAATTTTGAAAAACTCTTTATCGAGCATCATAATATCCTCATCATAATCTTCTTCATTAATGATAATAATATTATTATCATCAGAGTTTGTAAAATCGAAAGAAACGATGATTTCTTCCGTTCCATCGCTTAAAATATTACTTTCCAAGTTGATTATTCCCCCGCCAGAATTATCGTCATCATCTAATCCAACAACAGTAATCTCAATAGTAGTAAATCCATTACCGTCGCCGTCACCATCAGCAAGATTATTACCTAAATTTTCAAAAAACTCATTTTCAAAATTATTGATATTCTCAAAAATATTTTTAAAAAGAGAAGATGACAAATCGTTCTCATTGCTGTTGCATAATAATGATGACAATAGTGTTGATGATGTTGTTGATGTGTCTAAATTGGAGCTTACTGGGTCAACAATAATACTGTTTAATAGAGATGGAGCAGGGATTAAATGATTGTTGTTATCATTATCGTTGGATGTTAAAACTGGTGTTGAATCTGTTAATTGAAAGAAGAATTCTGATGAAATTATTGAAATTATTGAAATTATTATTAAAAAAGTATTTTGTTTATTCATTATTTTTTTATTTTTAGCAAAAATCATAATCAAGTGAATGGAGTACTAATGCAATATATATATAAATATAATAAATGGATTTTTTAAATATATCATTTTGGTGATATTTTTAAGGAATCAATAAAATGATATCAATAAATAGGAAATATACTACCTAATTAATTATTATTACTGACTATTATTATCATTATTATTACTATTTAAATCTTTAATTCCATTCATTAGAATTTACAGTTGTTTTAACAATTCTTATTGGCAAAATCTGAGCGGAAAATTATTTTGTTTATTTTTCCACAGTTCATTAGAGGTTCTTTTCAATTTCTCTTGGATTTTTCCATTTTGCTTTAATTTATTTACAATGTGTTTAAACTTTGAACTGAAATCAATTGAATCAATATCTTGTTTTTTTTGGGCACATAGACAAGCTTTCTTAGTTCACTCAGAAACATACGGTAAATGTTCGGGATCTTCATTTTCTTCTGATATCATCAACTGCACATAATAAGATCTGATAATTAATTAATTAAAAAATCCATCATGATGAAAATTATCAATAAACTAATTAATTATATATATATTACAATATTTCAGTGAACTAACTTCTCCGACGTCTTTGATTGGGCAATAAATAAAATAATTCAATCTCAATTATGATCTTTGCTTTTGAGCCAAAAATGGCTTCTTGTATGTTATAATGTTCAATTTATCGCTATGTAAACCAATGAATAAATTCATTAGGTACAAATGAAAATGTCACTACCAGTATTGTCTAACTCAATAAATATGTCATTTGTTAGTTTATACAATCCCTTTCCAAAATGAATAATTATAAACATAATTAAATAATCTAGGAAAGGGAGTCATCAGAGGAATTTTTGAAATATTATTATTTCCATAATTTAAAGATACTTTAAATTTTTTCATGATAATTCCAAAAACTTTTGTCTGAATAAATAAATACTTCATTAAAATGAACATTATAAAGAGAACTTGGAGATTTTTTTTTTAATCTTGGAAAATGTGAAGTAATCATTTTCAAGTAAACTAATATTTGACACAATATCTTTTTCAAAATAATAAAGACAAAGTCAAATACTCTTTCCACTATCACACTATGATTTTTCTCTAATGCTGTATCTAAAATTACATTCTCATATTTATTAAAATATAAGATTCATCTAGCATATACTGTATAAAACATTTCATTGTAAGAATATTTGGCATTGTCAATTATAATCATGATGCTATAGTTTAATGTTATGTAAAAAAGTTTTTTTTGTTCAAAAGTCTTGAAACCCATTTTTCCTATATAGAAGTTACTACAGCATATAAATGTAAAATTTTCTAATGCCCTTATTATGTATTGGTGTTAAAATAATTACTTTTGGTGTAATTAGAAAAATTTTTTTTTCTTTTTGAAAAATCAATGAAATAAAACTTTAGACATAAAAAAAACTTTGCTACTACTTCTCTTTTACCTTGGGAAACAAAATTTTTTGGATCAAAAAGTGTATTTATTTTATTTGAAAAGTTTACAAAGTAAATGTGAAATCTTAGCATGTAACATTCATATTGAACCCCTTTCCCCTAGCTAGCACTCTATATATCCTTATTTTTTATTTGATTGTGAGTGTGACCCACACTATACAATTAAAAATTGTAATCTCAATTTCAACAGAATAATTATCCTTATATATTTGATTGAACCTGGTTCTTCAATAGAGTGTAAACCCCTGATTTTCTACCTTCATAATCATTTGTGATCCTTTGATTTGTTGCTATGAAAATAATTGTAATGTAATCATAAGTGATTATATCATAAAAGTTAAAGGCAAAAGACAAAACAAAACAAGTAAAATATTCTTACCTCCACCATTGTATAAAATTTGTGTGCACGACCCCCTTAAATTGTGCACAATGAGACAAATTTTTTGTGCAAGCTTTCTACAAAAATTTTAAATATAGTGCACAAATTCAATGAGAAATTTTTGCACTATTACATTTTTCTATATATATAGTCCACAAAAAAATCAAAAAAACTAAACCACTTACAATTTTTTTTGTGCATACATGCACGATTTTTAAGCAACTTTTGCACAAATCTTCAAAAAATTTTGAGCAACATGCATCAGTGAATTTTATACACTGACCTCCCCACCTTGGCAAAATGGCAAGTTGTCTACAAAAAAAAAAAAAAAAATGATATAGTTACATCATCAGACTATTTAAACTTCAAAATAAGTAAGCCAGTAAATATACTTTTATTGCCAGTTTCTTCGGACTCTTCAGTAGGTTGTTAAAGTGTAAGTTTTTCCTTTCAAACAGTTGTTTCAATATTTCATGGATCTCAATTAAATTAAGTGGTATTGAAGGCAGACGAATTCTTCCTTTGATCAAATTTTAATGTCAATAAATGAAAAATATTATGTAGTTTTTGGTCTTGTTTACTATTCAGAATACTTACTGATCTTATTTGCCTATATCAGATGTGGTGGGTTTCAGTATTTTATATTCCAACACAAACCATTTTTTTAAAACTAGAATGATGATGAGTTGCAATGCATCACAACCACCACAACCACCATTCTTTTTTGATTCATCTAAAAAAATGGATGTATATATATATATACAAAAAAATTTTGATTGTACAAAAATCCGTTTTAATTAATATTTGTAATAATAATTACATAACTAAAAATAATATTAATACATCTTCAACATTCATGACAGGAGAAAGATGTGGTCTTTTTAATTTTGATTGATATGAATTTGGTTCAATTTTAAGCCATTTATCAGACTCTTTGCAGGATATATAGAAAATGCGTACCTTATTAAAAAAAACTCCAAGTTCAACATAGCAATTCATATTCCCAGTACGAGTAACGTACTAAAAAGTACAGACGCACTTTCTACATGCCATTTTTTTTTTCTTCAGTACGATACGCAATTTCTACATGCCGTTATTAGTAGGTCATGCGAGCAATTTCCGGCAGGCCTATCATATTTTCCGTAACGAATAATCTTACCACATTAAATGATACATCCATTGTGTTAATGTTAAGGCGCGTAAAAATGAATTTTGAGAAATTTTTTAGCCGGCTAACATCACTAATAAAATATTAATATTAATAAAGTTTGATTGCTGCTAATAATAAGATAAAGGTATCATTTACCAATAAATAGTATGATTCCTTTGTCGATTATGCTGTATAATTTCGGTGCTCTTTTGATGCTCCTTGAAAGAAAATGATCTTTCGATTTCAAATTCTTTGCTAACGTGAAATCGGGCACTTTGAAGTTAATTTGTAATCTTTTTGATGTTGCGTTTTATCTGCATCAGAAAACCATTCATCGTAAGGGTAAAGTTCAATGAAGTTTCTCTAAATAGATGAATTTCGGTCCCTATAAATAAATTCATTGAATTCTGTTGTTTAATCTCATCTGAACTTATACACAACTAATTGACACAATGATTTTTTTTTTAAACAAATTTATTTAAAATCTCCTATCGATCAATAATAACCAGTAGATTTATATATAAATTCCGGGGCACATTTAAAATGTTTTTTTTGTTTGTGGCCATTTTAAAAGCAAGAAATTTATCATAGCCCGACAATCTTGTATGTTATCTAGTACATATTGATAAGTGATCCCCAAATTAAAAGGCCCTTTCCTTATGAAGAGGATAGAAATCAAGATTTCTTTTCAAACTAGTCGCACCGCCTTTGATTTTAGTTAAATTAAATTTAAAGATGATAAAGATAATAATTTTAAATTGTATTAGTATAAATTTAATTTTCCCGCGTTCAAATTTGGAGATGATCAACACGGAAGAATTTTTTATAAACTGGATTAAAATATTACACGATAAAATGTTGAATTAAAACCCCAAAGTATCGACATAAATTATTCCATAAATTCCAACAAGATTTCGGTATAAATAAGAGTTATGAACTCAATGATTAAATTAAAATTCAAAAATTCTAGTACTATTCTAACATTCTTTAAAGATTCTCAGATAATAATTCTTTTCTAATTAAAACGGTTTAATTTATTCTCTTCATAATATGTAGTGTTATCACATCATAGTAAAACTAATAATCATCTTGGAAGAATAAAACTACTATTCAAGACGGCACTGAATTAAAGGATTAATCTTCATTAGTGTTGGTTGCCAAAACTATTTTGAAGAGGCGAAAGTCAAAACTAAAATTAAAAGTTATATGTAAAACTAAATCAAAAGTCAATAGTCAAAAATCAAAACTAGTTTCGACTTATGGCGAAACCTTTTGACTTTCGCATAGTTGCGAAACTCTCTAATTTTGGAAACCAACACTAGTCTCCATCCAATAAAAGACATCAGAAAACAAAATTAAAAGTGCACATTTATAATTTCTTCGATCAAACCGAAGAAAAAAATCACTCCAGAACGCATACAAGATTCCTCATAAGCCAGCCAGTTAAGTAAAAAATTATAGATTTTCTTTACCTTTTCGTTATGAATCTCTTGATTATTTCTGACAAATAAAGATTAAAAAAGTTTACATATAAATTTTTATAAATTAAAATATTAAAGAAAATTTATTTTAATTATCATTTACTTCATGTAAAGCAGTATCTAAATGGTTTTTTATTTGTCTCTTCATTTTTTTAATATTTTTTTTTCACATTGACCTTGTAAAATTATTTCTGAGAAAAATGAAGCGTAGTCACCTAGAACAGAATCGGTATCTTCACTATTTTCATGACTTTTACTACGATCTCTACCAACTGCTATAACTTCATGACTTTCGCGACTTCCATGAATTCCATGACCTCCGCGACCTCCGCGATTTCCACGATTTCCTTGATTTTGTTTCATTATACAGTAAATTATATATTAAATGAGAATTTTAGTTTGAAATGAATAGAAAAAAAGTGTTAAAAAGGTTTTAAATAAGTTCAAAATTTTTTAAAAGTATATTAAACTTTAAACTTACTACTATGATTTGCGTTGTAAAACTAATTCGTTTAACAACGTGATGTTAATCAATATTTAAAGTTGTACAACTCAAATTAAAAGTAGTATTACAATAGAGTATAACCGATAAACGCGATGTAAATTTAATTAAGATTGTTAATAATTTCATTCATAAAACTGGCACTTCATGACCAAATTGTACAATGTTTTTTCCATGACGTGGCCAAGAACATCCGCATGTAACACGTTAAATGAGATCAACTTTCCTGTCCTTTTTTCCGTGTAGACAAAGCCATGTGTGCATCACGTTTGAAGAAATGCTCCCAATTTTTTTTTATGAACTAAAATCTATTTAATCAATTTTAATGCTAATTAAATGCAAATATTAAAGTTATCTATAAAATCCCAAATGATCTAATTATTTGTTTGCTTGTCCTGTTTTGTTTATGTCGCTCATAATTAAATACTATATCATCGAAATACTCATTTCACGTTAGAAAATATATATATAATAAATTTCAGCATTAAATTATTAATTTACCTTTAAATTTAGTTGCCCAATGTATATAATTAATATTAACGAACTAAAAAACTCCTCCAATTGTTAATGATTTCATTCATAAAATAGTAAATGGAAACAAATTTTGTTTGTAAAAAAAAAAATCTTAATACTTTTTTTATTCGTATTAGATCCTCCTCACATAGGATTGGAAAAACACGGTAAACGTTGCTTATTGGTTAAAAACAATACAATTTTGTCACACACAATTTTGAAATACCACATTTTTATTATTTGTAAATGTCCAATTTCAGCCCGTATGATAACACTCTCATTAATTATGTTTATGGCATGCCATGCTGGACAAAAGTTGTAACATTTTGTTGTAAGGAAATAATTGCAACATTTTGTTGTAAATAATTACAAAACATTTAAAATTGTAACAAAAACAAAATGTAGTACATTCACTATATTAATATGTTACTGATCCTGCCCCGTGATGTCCAGATTACTTGTATAAGAAAGGCTAACTAAATCGAGTAATGTAACGTTAATTTTTTGATTGGATTGATAAAAACAATCATAATTTCATTATTTATCGGCTGTGTTTCTATTTACATATCTTTATTGTAATTATTGTAAACAAGTAAATTAACTTGTTAAAAAAAATTTAATCGTAAAGGATGTAGTAAATGACTTCGAAAAGGAAGCGAGTGTAACCGCGACAATAACATCAACAAATAAATATCTTTTTTTACGCCATAATAATTTCATTCGAATTATCATCCAATAGAATTCTAATTTTCTTTTTTTTTAAAGTTATTTGTATTATATTATTTAAGAAATCTTTAGTTCTTTCTTCAATTTTGTTTTTTTAAAATTTAGATAGCAACGAGACCATTTTAAAATCCATAATAACAGTAATAATAATTAAAGATGTCTGGTAATTCTCAAATAAAAAATCCTTATGAAGAAAATCAATCACTTTCAAAAAAAATATCTAAACATCGAGGATGGGGACGTCCTGATATCTTTCATATGAGAGGATCTGTAAGTGATGTATTCCATCATCATTATTATTAATTGATAATTAATTAATTGTTTATTTATTTATTAATGCTATAGGTTATTGTTGCAATTATACCAATTGTTTTCTTTTCAACAGCTATTTCTACTATCGTAACTGTTTTGTATATTATTTTTGATAAAAAAAATATCACGTTACCCAGTAGCATAAGTACGAGAATTATTATTATCATATACTAATACCAATTTAATACTATTACTATTACTATTTATTGTTTGATTTTTCGAATTTA